TTGAATTCTATATGTGTGAAACAAATAAAATAATACAAGATTAAAAAAATAAACCATATATATGGATTTATTGTGTTTACAAAAAGTTTGTAGAATTCACTTCAAGCTATCAAATATTAAATTAGGAGTATTTTTATGAAGTTAATTAAAAATCCAACACATTAATTAAATTAAATAAAGTCTAATTTCACAATCCTTTAATGTATGGAAAAGATGATTGATAAATATTTTCATTGTTCTTCATTTTATGATAAATAAATGTATGTCTTCATAAGATATTAAGTTCAATGCATTCAATATTCTATGATGTGTGATATTTTTCTATATTTCAACAAATGAAAGTAGAGATTAGCATTTCACTTCAATATAATTTTTAATTAGATTTACGTTACCTTAAAGTATTAAATTTCAATCTTTATGACTAATATGAAATAAAAATTCAATCATTTTTCAAACAAGATAAAAAATTATCAGATATTGATTACTTCAGATATTGTTAATACTGAATGAAATCTTTTCAGAATTATGTTCCATCTTCAAGTGAGCTACTCTTTTAATCCATAGTGTTACTATATGTTATGAAAAAAAATCACGATCATGAACATCTGAATTATTCATGAATTTAAATTTACATCTTCTTTTCAAATATAAAAACAAAAATTTGTGCATACATTCATTGTAGTATTTGACCATTAAAATGAAAAAAAAAACATAATAAAACTTAAATTTTAATATTATATATTTCATCTCAACATATATATAAATATATATAATCGTGTCCATTATATTTACTTTGTGAATTGATGGCATGGATAACATAATTAACAAGAAAAAGAGATGCTAACATGATGTTATAACTAACACCAAACTAAAACACTATATTTTAACTTGAAATGCACAGTATTATTGATGTGTAATTTTCAACTAAAACACTGTAATTTTTATCTGTTAAATACACAGTGTCATATTGGCACAAAATCATTATAGAGTGCTAAAAAAACATGTATAGTATCTTTGTTTATTGACATGCATGATGTAATCTTTGAGAAGTATGATAAAATTTTAAAAACGGCAAGTGAATACTTCAACATTGACAATATTTTGATCAGTATATTGTTAGCAAATTGGATGAAAAAGCTTTTACAAATGCACTTTGTGATAGATATAGCACGATCAAAAGTTGAAACAATATTGAATTGAGATAAATATTATGAGAGATTATTGATAGTCCACTATGTTAGATTCTATAGATAAAATTATCCATATTTCTTAATTTTTAGTGATTTTATCAACATAGAACTTTTTATTTAGATCAATATATTTTTTTGATGATAGATTCTTCGTATTTTATAATTTTTGAGCATTGTTTCATTAAATTTAAGATTTACAGATTACATTTTTATTAAAAATATGCAATTGTTGCATGTTGTAACATTCGGATCTATATTCATTCTTAATGTTATAAACAAGCGTTTAATAGAAACTTGTATGCTAAAAATTTTGTATTAAATTTTCTCATATAAATTAAATTTTTTTGTATCTTTTGTAAATTTATAGATAATTGATTGATTTTATGTTGAAAAACCTCAAATGATTTAAATATGATTAGAGAATGTGTTTTAGTTGTAATTTAACTTTAAGTAAAGATAAAGCTATTTTGGCTCTCATATAAATCAAAGCTCACTGATGTTGAGATTAATTCCAGGTAATAAGTAATCTTAGGTTCTAGCTATCTATAGCTAGGTTTGTTGCTAGTGTTGGGTATACATATACCCACAAGATTTCTACTATAAACTCTCTTGCGTGTTTTAGCGGTGGACGTAACCCTCTGAAGAACTCATCTCGTTATATGTTTCTTGTCTACTTATGCATGTGTATCAATTTGATAACATTGCTGGTTTCGATTCGAAGTTTGTGAAAGGTCTCATATGAGTGGAAGGTGAAATTTACAAAAGTTTTTCTTTGAGATGATAGAAATTATGACGTTGACGTTTTTTTGAGATTGTGACAGAAGGTTTATAGTTTGAAAGTTAGTAGATCAAGGAGAGTTTCAGTTTTTTCAACTTTGTCAACAATTTTTTATGACGTTTTGTCTGAGTTAGTTTAACAAACTGACCGTGGTTTGAGGTTTGAGTCTCACTGTTTTGAGAACTCTGATTTAGAAGTTCAGAGCACTTGCCCCACCAAAACTCTCACCTCAATTCTCTAGCCCCATGCTGTACGAGAATATTTAGGGTCCATTCTCTTCTCAGACATAAACAATTACTGATGAGTGAGTGATGTATTATATTATATATAATAAAATGCACCATCACCGTATACCATATTCCACATGACTATAAAATGGATTAAAGATGTCTTAAATAAAAATCGTCTTTATTTCAGACGTTTTAAATGTGTACGCATTGTTAATACATAACAAACATATGCATATACCAAAATTCAAAAATGTACAAAACTTAGCTTTGTATGTTTATATGTGATGTCAATCAAGTTTTTCAATCAATGCACCTTGCATAAAAAATCCACAATTTTCATTAAACATTTGCAATAATTTGTTGATTCACACAATTCAAAACATCATTATATATTTTGATATCACTTAAATTACTTGTTATAATTTTCTTTTATTCAATGATCCACCATATGAAAGAAAACATACTTGAAATATTTGCTAGACTATGGATCATATGAAAATAATACTGGATTCACACTACAATATATATGTTATACAAAATATGTTCTCTACTACAAATACTACTTTTCATATGTTATACAAAATATGTTCTCTACTACAAATACTACTTTTCATATGATATATAATATATATATATATATATATATATATTTATTTATTATCTTCAAATTGGATCCAAAAGATTTTGAAAACAGAGGAGTATTTTTTTAAATAACGTACAGAAAACAAATTTTAGTTGCTTTTATTTAAATGTTAGTATAGTTTATCAGTTTGACTTATCATTGATGGATCCATTGTAAAATTCATCAGAATTTTATGAAAAGTTGTAGAATTTCCAGGAATAAACGTTAGGTCACTATGTATTCTCTTTGTATCTCAATCTTATGGCTTCATTTCTTTACTAATCTATTGTATAAAGTTTGGATGTTTCAATATCGTAAATGTCATAGTAGAAATTGAAATACCAAAAAAGTAATTACCATAGATCCTGAGTTGATAAAAACTGCTCTTCACATAATTCCAATATTACAATATGATTCATTTTATTACAAAATCTTTTGAATTAATCTGAATTTTGTTTTTCTGGCTGAACTATCTAGGAACTGGTTCAGGAGCTTGTCGATAGCCCAGAGCATTTTGCAAAGAATTGAGAAAACTCAAATTTCATAACATAAATCTCATATTTAAAACCTGCGAGATTCCTCCACATGAACCAGGTTTCAAACAAAATGAAATCAACTTAATTGGTTTGAGCTAAACACATATCTCCGGATCTACTCCTTTTATAGCAGTGGAAAAACAAAAAATCAAAGTCTCAATCGCTTGATTATGGATATAGGTTTGGCATGTAGTCATGCTGACGTTTTCTTCTATTATAAACAACACACGGTTATGTTTAAAACCGTCTCCTATCAAATGGAAATGATGCAGCCGAACAAAGAAATAAAAAAACTGAAATCAAGACATGTTGTTGACATTTGCTCATATATTCGGACTTGAAGCTGCCACTCCATATTTTCTTTCAATATTCAGCTAAGGTCGCTTATTTTTTACATGTTTTGTCAGAGAAGCAAGTAACAAAGTGGATATAAAGACGATCTGAAGACCCCAAAAAGCATATTGTTTAAGTGTGGGCTTTGCACTTCGTGGTTGCACATTTTTTATGCTTTGTGTGCTGGCGAGTTTACTCGACAGCTCCATTCTTAACAGGTTCTTGCGCTACACACATGAAACAAGAAATAGAAGAATACGATATTGCTTGGAGGGTTTATGCATGTTATAGATGAACATCATACCAGTGTGAATAAGACATGGATCTCCATGGATGAAATACTTACCTCGCCGTAGCTCGCTGAATACAGATGAGTATGTCATGAAATTCTTTGTATCAGTGACTAAAGCTAGTTCTGCGAAGTTTCAGTACCACTCTGATTGCATATATTATAAAGTCAGTGGCAATGATACTGGTTTTCCAACACATGATGATCACGTGGATTAATTATTCCTCATTTTATTCTAAGTATGAAAAAAGCTCTCACCTTGATCTCTTTAGAAGATGTCCATACCCTCAAAAACGATCAAACTTCACATCTCTCATGCCAGCATGTTTGACTGTACCATCACTGTAAAGGATTTTCAATGATTCGTATCACCTCAAACTCCATCAATTGAGGCATTGAAGGAGTAATGCCCGTTCAATACTAGTGAAACAGATAGTGGACAGGAGACACATGTGTACACACATCTCCCGAATAAGAATCAGCATTCACATGCATCAGTGCTGCCATTCAAGTATCATGCGTTGAACGCCTGCAAAGATGCTCGAAAGGCACTGCTAAGATTCAGACGCTATCAGACACGAGACGAGACGAGACGAGACGTCAACTCATTCGTTGATAGAGAACGAAGTCTGCAATTTTGGGTTTAGGGGTTTAGAAGTCCCAGCAACACTGCTCGCCCCAGCTCCTCATCCCAAAGTCGATCACGATTCCATCGAGAGTGTCATACGATCAGATTTCAGACGAAGTGAGTACGAAGTGCAAGACACGAGGAGTCGAGTCAGAAAAGTCTAAGTTTAAGCAGCGAACGTGGATTAGGAGCCTACGTATCGTGAACCTTCTTTATCCAGAGGTCACAAGACCGAGAGGGAGGAGACCCCAGAGTAAGTCCGAAATGCGGCGGACCAAGGGCCACGGAGGATATACCGGTCGGACGTCGGACGGAGGGAGGGAGCAGGTACTGACAAACAAATAGAGGCGATGGGTCGACGACTCGCGACCAGATGGCGACAGGGGTCCCAATCTACGTAGTGCGCTATCTCTCTCTCTCTCTCTGTGCTTCTGGAACCTAATGGAAGCGAGAGCAGGCAGCCTTCTGCCTGCCGCATGTACCCCCGGCAGCAGCAGCGCAGGCGGCTCGCGCGTGCGCTGCCACTCGTCCGGAGCTGGTTCGAATCTAGATCCCGATGCCGGCGATTTCTGAATGCGCTGGAGTGGCCCTCAAGGAAGAGTCGGGCCGATGGATCACAAGCGCTTTCCTTCGATTTGTGAGGACTTTCGTGACCACCCTCCCTGCCACGCTTTCTGGAGCCTCGAACCCTATCTGGCTTCATAGATCTGCGGTCTTTGCGGGCGGATCTTTTGTGCGGTCATGTATGCTGTCGGGGATATATAAATGCAATCCAGTGGCAATGTAAGGTAGCATCTGGTTCAAGTCATATTTCAGAAGAATCTCCGGGTCAATCATTCTGTACTTTGCGTATGATGGGTGAATCTTGGTGATTTCCGGTGTGTTGGTTGGGGGTTGTGGTGACTGCATGAAATTTCGTGCCACTGCGCGAGATTGTCGATAGCTGCGCATCGTTAGGAAGGCGCTAGGGATTGCATCGCACACTAAACGAAGAGCAAGGCGAGCAGCGCTGCAGATTTGATCCTGAGCTGGAAGTGCAAGTTCCGAAACCATGGAGAAAGTCGGACCGTTTCTGGTGTTGTGGTTGGCGGTGTGCAGTTGGTCACTCGTTCGAGCAGAATTCCAGACTTTTCGCTCTCCGGTGATATCTATCGGCCCAGGCGATGTTTCGGAGCAATACTTTCGCACGAAAATGCCGCCTGGTCATGTAGGGATCAAAAGTTTTTTCGGCGAAATGGTAGAGGAAGATGGCACGCCAGTTCCCGTGAGCGAATTGTATCTCCACCACTGGCTTGTGGTGAGAATGCACACGAAGAAGAATGATGATGCATTGCTGAGGGGAATGAAAGATGTTTACGCGGGTAATGATGGCATATGTCAGGGCTCGATACTGCCTCAAACCTTCGGTTCTGGTTCCGAGACTCGCCACACTAGCTATAGTCTTCCAGACCCTTATGTCGTGGAGATCGGTAATCCGGATGAAGTTCCTTACGGTTATGAGGAGGTGTGGCTACTCAATGTTCACGGAATCGATACTCGGGGTGCCATCAACCCCAGGTTCTGCTTAGAGTGTCGATGTGAATCATATAATATTTCTTCAGTAACCTCCGCAGGATTTCATGTACCTGAAGATTATGTAGGTGGTCTCAGGTGTTGCCACAACAATGAGCACTGCGCAGTGAAGGAGGGATTTCAGGGGAAAAAAAGGGATTTGTACTTCCAGTACACGGTGGAATTTCTTCCGATGGAACCTTCCCTTGTACCTGTTAATGTCTACCTACTGGATGTCACGGACGACAGAACTTCTATGGAAGAGAAACCCCGATGCAAGGTGATTCTAGACCTTGCGAATTTCCTTCTATTTTCTATTATTCACCTACGTTTCATCATTTTTCTCCAAATAGTAAGCTGAAGCTTGTAGACGTGGAGGGCAAGAAATGTTTGGTTCTCACAATTTAAACGTAACCTTATCACGCGTATGCATTGGGATGGAATGCTCCGACTGATCAAATACAGTCTCAGGTGTAGTCTCAGCAGTAGATGTACGAAAGAGTATGATTACCAGGTTTGATGAAGCGGTTCCTGTGTAGAGTGCGATTACGATCTTCCCCCCGCAACTCACGTTTAAGTCCTGCTCTGGATATGGCTGTAGTCGGGGCTACTGTGGTGATTGAATATCGGTTGTCCTTGGTACTAAGGAGTCAGCGGTTTGAGTTAGATTAATTGAATTGGTTCTTGTGCTCAATGTTTTTTACCTTGTGGATTTCAGGTTGAGTATCATGTGGAGCAGTGTGACAAGAGTAAGGATAGTGCTTGTCTTCATGAGATGAAAGCCGTTGCGTCCCTTCCAAACGAGAAAGAGGTGGACGTCGTCTATGTCAATGGACATCTACACATTGGAGGACACAATATTGAACTGCGCCACGAGGTAAGCAAATGAATGACAATTATCACAGATTTATGTAGCACACGAAGTTAATGTTGAGTATTTTTGCTTTGTTTTTCGAGGTAGACACAAGTATATATTTTTTTGCGACGTTTTAAGGTGAGAGATCTTGTATAGTGGATGTTTTGGTAGTTGGTTCTGACATGATGTAGAGAAGCTATATATCTGAAGGGTATTATTGAAATTTATCTTCGCTTGTTGGGCAGGATGGTGGGTTAATTTGCAATTCAGAAACAATCTATGGAAAAGGAGATGAAGCTGGAAATGAAGCAGGGTATGTAGTAGGAATGACCGCATGCTATCCTGAAAGAGGCACGCAGAGGATCAAACCCGGAGAAGAATTGCACATAAGAGCTGTGTATAGTAGTGAGGAAGAGCACACTGGAGTCATGGGTCTCATGTACATTTTGACTGCAGAAACGTTGCCGGAAAAAGATTGTCATTCTTTTATGTGGAAAACTTCAGGGGCAGTTCTTGTTATAGCTCTAGCCATTTCTATCATTGGTTTTAGTTCGTACCGATACATTTCAACGAAAAGGAGTAGTGTTGGCTATGAAAGCCTAGTTCAGCCTTGATCAGTGTATATATGAGCACATATAATATAGAAATCGAAAATAGAACTCGGTTAGAACTCTGTTCTGTGTTTTGAACTTGTCTTATAAGATTACATTAGTATTTACCTCGGTCATTTCTTCCCATATTGTAGGAGCTTTTGGTCGAAATTCGTGTATATAAAAGGTATTGATATTCAACAATCATAGAGAAAATATGTGCACATCTTGTGCACATATGTTTGGCGTAGATAATTCTATAACATTGTCATATGTGTACAATGCTCACCTGAAAATCTACTTTGCACAAAGTTGCAACTTGATATTTCTCTTTGCATTGATAACATTATTCGTGTAACGTAGTACCGTTGCGGCTTCTGCAGTATGGTTGCATATTTTGCTTTACAATATTCATATAGCATCTATCAACGATATACTGTTTTTCCAGTATTGTGACACATTTACCATTCTTTCATGACTACTATCTCAACATATCTCTACAAAATCTGAACACTACTGTTTTCGAAAAATTTTCATATCCATATTTTCTTTCACAATATATCACCTTCTTTCATCATCCATGATATACTCTAAAGCATCGACAAAATTATTTCCATATTTTCTAAAGTGCCGATTCTATATTTTCTGTAAATAATCATTTTCGCAGATAACAATTTTGGATCTAAACTACCACATGACTGTTTCCTTGATTACAACTGAACCGCACAACTGCCACAACTCACGATGAAATTCTCGTCAATAACAGCTCCACTTCCATGATAAGAACGTTATTTCTTAGATAATTCTTCATTTCTTCAACCCAGTAGTGTAGATAATCTGCTCCACTTCCACGATAAGAACGTTATTTCTTAGATAATTCTTCATTTCTTCAACCCAGTAGTGTAGATAATCTGCTCCCTCGTTGAAGCTTTGCAATATCTGCAGAAACGGTCCGGCCAAATTCCCTTCCTAATCTTACCGTAATTTATCAACAGCAGGCTGAAAGCTTGACACTGTTTATTCGTGCGCGTCATCACACTCACACGGTTAAACGCGGGTCCAGTCTAACCTAAAGAGACTTTGACTTGACAGAGCTGGTTCTCATCTCGTACAATAGCGAGCTTACTTAGAAGTCTACGGGTTCAACCTTTCCCTCTATCCCTCTCAACAACGCTTTTAGAGCATGTTCTGGTTCACACCCATTTATACGGGGTTTAGGTAAGCTCATTTCTTGAAATGATCCTTCATTTTCCTTCTCATAACACTTCCCATTCAAACTGTTCGGGATATGCCAACATACGCAAAAACCTAAAGCCTAAATTTAATTACCCATCTATTCACTGTTTCAAAACAAGGAAAAATTCCTGTAGACAACTTATACTATATTTTGTTCAGATGACTGCTTACTTATTTTATTCCTGTAATACTTCCAATAACTAATTGTTCCAGATATGTCTATGTATACCGCAACTTGAAATCTCATAACATTTCATCACATCTGTTTCCGATGTCGATACAAGATCAAAGCCCTAAGCCCCACATTCACACTCTCCGGAATTCTCTAATATAAACTGATTCCTCTTCTCAATTCACATTCAACCAGAATTACTACAGTTTTTTTGGGATATGTGAATGCAATTTTACAAATTGTAGGAACACCGACAAGTATAATACGATAACACATATCAAATTGAGAATAAACTCCTCTTTTTTGTGTACAACTTTCGATTCTGCCACAAAATTTCCCATGCACATTTCATTCTGAAAACGATTTGAACTTTAATCCCAACAAGTTACAAATATGGACCTTATTGAAACTCAGTGCACGTTTGTAAAAGAATTTGTAGAATACTAAACCTACAGCATAGAACATTTACTTCTTCTTTCCTACTTTACCCTCCTTGCGTCTAACAACCTCATCACTGTACTTAATACCCTTACCCTTGTATGGTTCTGGTGGCCTCCACTTTCTAATAGCCGCTGCAAAGTCTCCTACAGCGCACTTATCACGCCCTGAAATGGTCAATCTGGTGTTTTCTTCCACCTTTACATTTACACCGTCTGGAATTGGGAGTCTTACTTGGTGAGAGAATCCCAAATTCAGTGTAAGATCCTTTCCGTCGAGAGCAGCACGGTATCCCACACCAATGAGTTGCAGCTTCTTCTCGAATCCCTTTGTGACTCCAACAACCATGTTATCTGTGAGGGTCCTGTTCACATTTCAAAAATGATGCGGCATTCAGATCGGAGGTTTCAGGCAACTTTGTCCATAGCCTTAAAGAAGGTATAATACTCGGGAAAAGGAGGGGAAAATGGCTCAAAGCCTGCTAGGAAAGGCTTCGAAACTCCATTGAGATACACAGCTCCCGACTTACTTCGTCTAAATTCGACGTGCTTTAAATGGTCTAGCTGAAGCACATAAAAGAAAGACAACTATGCTGTTGTCTTGCACAGAGTCACGGAGCCAAAGTACCTGAAAAGACCGTGCATTTGTCGAGCCTTGCGGGTATCCACTGCCCTCGTGACTATGATTTTGCCCGTCTCCTCGCGGGTTAGCAACACTTCACGAGGGTAAGATCGTGCGAGCTCTCCGAGAGGCCCCTTCACCACAAGACTTTGACCCTCTAGTTGAATGGTGACACCGCTCGGGACATCGATAGGTGCCTTTCCAATCCTCGACTCCTTACATTCAATTCTAAGCACTCCCGCACTGGCGGAAGAGCTGCTCGGGGCCGCGCATGATCCGCAAACTAGGGCATCTCCATTGAATGAGGTCCTGAGGGCACTGCACCGACAACACCTCATGAGTCAACAACAAGAAGAATGCTGTGAAAATAAATAAAAGGGAGAGACGAGAATCCATATTCGAGCTTCCGTAGCCTCCTCGGGGGGGTCACTAAACCATTGCCTCGACGTGGGCATGACTTCGTGGAAGACAGGCGAAATTCCAGTTGCAACAAACGGCACTCACTGGCGAATTTACGGTAAGCCTTTCAAAGGAAGAGAACGAGCAGCCAGAACCTTTCCTACTTCATTCACAACACAGACATTCCTCAACCATGCCTCCATAACCGCGAGACCTCAACCAGCTAGAACAAAATCGATCGACGAGAGCCACATTACTCCGACCTACTCCCAAAATTCACAATTGACACGCTTCCACTACGCCGGAAGACATTACATCCCTCCCGGTCAATTCTCCAAACAATTCGCGACCGGCTTGCTCACCCTCGTCGCCACCTCAATCAATCCTACGAATGTGACGTACCTGACGGGCGCGGACACCGAGAGGGCGCAATGCACAGACGCCATAGCCACGACGAGTCGAGAGACGCAACAGTCCCTGAGGGCGCGAGCCTTAATGCACCTGCTCTGCTATCTACGAGAGATTCATCGCCTTGCCGCGCCCCGCCCGTTGCCCGTCGTCTCCTGTCTTCTCTTATCCGAATAGCAGACGCAGGCAGGCACGCACGCACGCAGCCCCACGCAGTTTATCTTTCGACGTCCCAGAACTACGGTCGCCGCCGCTACTGCAGTAAGGGCTTCACTGCGCTCTCGCGAATCACGATGCAAGGGTTCAGATTCTGATTCTTCAAGGCTGAACTCGACTCACAGGGACCCACGTGTACTTTATAACTATTTGACTCCATTTCGTGTTCTTGCCGTTGATAATTATTTTCATTGGATTGCGTTTCCAATTTTTATCTATGTTATCTTTGCATCGCTTTTTTAACTTCTCGTTCGTGTTACTTTTAATTTATTGAATGCAAAATGTGTGCTATTTTCAAGTGGTGTATACAGCTAGCTTTACTAGCTCTTACAATGGTGCCTTTTGTTATGTTTCTTCTCTCTTCCCGGTGACCATGTAGACTTGCACATCATGTGCCAACCTCAGCTGGCCAGCGCTCACGATATAAGAGTTTATCCATGTATTTTTTACACTCGTTCGCATGTGAAAGTACCATAAATAAATAATTTCAATAAATTTGTGAATCTCAAAATGTGGAACAACAAGTCTATGAGTGGCGCTACATTTTATATTGGTTCTTAGAAGATCAACTACAAAATGAAGCTATGTTCGAAATTGCATATGCATATGAGTAAACTGAAGCTTGAGCAGCTTGGAGAGTCATCAAATCTTGATATGTATGAGCTGATTAAATCTGCAAGAAAGCTTATCAATCTATCGTCTGTGAAGAAGAAGAAGAAGCTGGAAACACTTAGCTCCAGATAAACTTGATCCAGATGAGTTTATTGATGTGCTAGAGAGATAGATTGGGGTTAATTTTTCTGGACTTGGTTGACCTGGTATTGTAAAGTAACTGTATGATCGTTTGAATGTCATATAGACATCACTCTACGTTGTGCCATGTAATTAATTATTAGTTATCAATCATTGTTGATAATTGCGGTGGATAGAAAAGGCAAGAATTTCTAGCTCATAAACTGTGAATTATTCACTCTGTCCGGTTTTTGATTCGATATATACACTTTACGTTACATTTGAAGATGAAATCAAAATCAGTATGCATGTATACTGTGAAACGGTGCAACTTAATCACCAAATGATTATTAGTTTTCGTGCAAAGTAGATGACAATATCAGTTACAATAATTCAATATTTTATACAGATTGTATGAACATGACTTTCTTGTAACGACATAAGTCAACACTATATTGCAAAATATCTTTGTCTATATATTTTTCATGACTTTTAAATGTTTTCTTTATTAATGTTCTATAGTTTACATGTCCAACGTTTTTTAATAAAAATCAAAAGAAATCTTGAGAGTCAATCAAAGGATGCAGTATTTCAATCGTTTAAATGATAAAATAGTCAATCATATGGATGTGCTCTTAAAAATTTCCCAGGATATGATTGTCTACTTATATGTAGTTATAATTACGGATCCTTATAATTTTTAGGAGAAAGCAGCACTATTTTCTGCTTAAGTATTGGTAAAGAAATGAATCTAAGATTATGCTTGTAAAATAATTTGAATCTACCGTGCCGTTTGTATCAAAAAGGTAAATGAGAGAAAGTGAGCTAATTTTTCTAGTTTTAATTTCAACTTAACTTTGAAAATAAATAGTTTTTGGATACAAAAGGCATGGAAGATTCATATTATTTTCTGATAAAATATAGTAAAACCATGACATCACATTCCAGGCGGTGGCTTGTTGATGTGTTTTTGCTTCTCGAATCTGCAATGAGAGAAGTATTAGGCTCTTTGAGACAGAGAGCTGAGCTTAACTTACTTCTTTAGAAAAATTCTCAAGAAGTTGCTAGACACATCATAAGCACAGCGTACCATATGTCACCTAAATAAAACATAAATCATGATTTTGAATATGGTTCATCTTTTAAATATGAATCTAAAATGGAAATAAAAAAGATGAATCATATTAGAATCATAACTTCATTTACAGCAATATTTCAATGTAAATAACTATATCAAGAAGTTTAAAAATATAATAATACACATTCTCAACCATTCAAAAATTAAATACAGAAAAAATTGTTTATGGGATGAATAATTCTTACATTAAATGGATTCAAATATAAGATGAATTGTATGATTTTTTCTACATACGATATTTTTCACACATTTTACTTTTCATATTCTAGTACATTCTTGTTGCAATATGATGTCTAACAATATTGATATCTTAGAGTAAAAACATACACAGCTATAACTTGCTGGGAGCAGCAAATCTTAAGTATTCTATATCAAATGATACTTTAAACTTCCTTAATACTCCACCACAATTTTACTTCTATTTTTAGTTTCAATTGATTTTAATACTCAAGCTCCTCCATGAAATTTGAATATAATTACAACAGATGAAGCAATTTAAAAAGAGTAGGTCTTTAAATGTAATGAAAAATTTAAGATTTGATTAATAACCTTATAAATTTTAATAAATTTATTTTATAAAAGACTAGTATGAGTTATGTATGATGTCCGGACCATTCCAATGTCACTTTTTTTCATCAAAAAACCCATATTTTTTTGAAAATATATGGGTTATTTTTTCAACTTGAGTTTCTTTTGCTTCTTTAATAATTTTTTGTTCTATATTTGACACTTACCATCTTCAATTTGATATCTACTTTAAACCATTTAGCACAAAAAAAACACAAATTCTTTGGCAAAAAAATTTGAATACATACACAAGAAAAACTTGTTGCAAAGTGCTATCAAGATAACCTATAAGTTCTTGAGATCAAGTCCTATACAATTATTAATATCGCTATGTTAGACAGTACTTTCCGAAAGTTGTATTAAAACTCAAATTTGTTCTTCTTTGTCTTTGATGTATAACAATCACAACTGATGCAAACTGTTTGTTAGTGGATATGATCATCTGTTATCTTGTAAGGACTCATTCAAGCTCTTGCTGTAGTGATGTATGTTGGTGAATCTACATTCCAATGCATCAAGTCTTTTTGACTTGCACGAGCCTCATAGCTGCATTATGAAACTATGAGGTTATGCTTTGGCTTGACAAAGCATTTCATTGTCATTTTTTGCGGGCATCTATCACTTGGATGCACATATAATCGTTGCCAATCTGAAGGCCAAAAGATACTGATTTGTATTATAATTGGATTCGTTATGATACAAGAGGATGAACAGATGCCATGATGAAAAGTTCACATGTTCTGAAATCGAATCGGGATAGAGTTGAGCCATATGTTACCATGTATCTATCGTGGATTTTCACTCATAACACCAATACAAATAATGAAAGTTGATTACTCATGCTCTTGAATAGTAGTTACCTAGTGTTATATAAACAACCAATAAATATGAATAGATGTCAACAATACACTGTGCTTGATATGAAATTGAGCTATTAACTCAAATTTCGATACTTTGTGTGAGAAAGTGAGAGTTTTTTAGAGTATGCTATAAATAACATCAAATTCTTTAGTCAATTGCGCAGTAAATCGGTAACATGTTAATATCTTTTGACCAAAATATGAGTTGGTGCAAGGAATCACATGGTGGAAGAATGTTTTAGATGCCATTCATCAGAAAATTGGACACCCATGCAGTTGGTCTACATTGGCTGCCTTAGTACACTTGTAGCGCCATCTACAAGTTTCGTTTCATCTTTGCACTGTGCGAATTGACGTTTTCCCCCCTGATACATTTGGCTATAATTATTACAGCACTCTGGGTTCCTCCAACCAGAAAAATCGAGCCATCTGCTCGACGTACAAGAACATGGATTGTTCTTGCGTCGAAGGAGAACAAACATGCGACAGGAAGGGAAGGAAGGGAAGAAAGGAATGCGTGGATCAGCAGCAGCAGGACAGGAAACGATGAAAGGAGCAAGGTTCGAGCATCCATCCATCGACAGGTCCATGCCACCGATTGATCGATCGAATGTTCGAGAGTGACTTCCCGTCGGCGGTTCGCGCGTTCTCAATCTGCGATTTGCTCCGCGCTTCTTCTTCTTCTTCTCTCTGTGTGTGTCTTTGTGTGCGTGTGTCTGTTTGAGTGTCCCTCTCTTCGGCGAATCGACCGCGTGCCACGCGTGCAGGAGGAAGGGAGCGCAGAAGCGATGCTCCGAGCGATGATCGGAGCATCGATGCCGTTGAGAATGTGAACAATTTCCCTCCGAGGACGATTGGAGGTTGAGCGGAGACGGAACAAAAGGCAGGCAAGGCAGGGACTGCGACACAGGGAAGCAGAACAGGAAGGGAGGCTTTGTCGGGAGGGAGGATTGATGGAATTTGCGATTCTTGATCGAGTTTGTGAAAGCACGAGGGTATGGATCGAGGAACGAGAAGAGGTCGTCGTTGAAGGCAGTCAAGAACAATCGGAGAGGAAGGGACTTCGGGAAAGGGAAAGTTCTCAAGTTTGACCTTACACAGAGCATCGGAACAGATTTTTAGTTGTGAGGAGGAACACAAAGGCATTGACAGAGATCACATCGCCGAGAGCAATCATGGGGAAGTGCTTAGGTCTGGTGAGCTTGGAAAGCGTGTGGGCAGATATCATCCTCTTATTACCGGCGCTCCTCTTCCTAATCTTTCTTATCTCTCGGGTTCAGTCTAGTGTGAGAAAATTGGTGCACAGCAAGTCTCATATTATGGGCACATATTACTCCTTTTTATGGATTATTGCTATCCTCAACCTCTGCTGGTGTGTGCTTCAGGTATGTTTTGAAACTCACTGTCTTTGTCCGCTGGTTGTTTGTAATCAACGGCTTAGCATTTGAATCGTTATTGCATCTTTGGGCAAGTGGATATTCTTCGGGATTCGGGGTCTACCGTCGAGCAAGAACTTGAGTTACTGGCGGATATCATTTTTATTTAGGTGACATATGGTACGCTGTGCTTATAATGTGTTGATTAACTCCTTGAGGATTTTTCTAAAGAAGTAAGCTAAGCTCAGCTCTCTGTCACAAAGAGCCTAATACTTCTCTCATTGCAGATTCGACAAGCAAAACCACATCAACAAGCCACCGCCTGGAATGTGATGTCGCTGGTTACTCGATTTGGCATGGTTTTACTAGAAGTGAGCGTGGTAGTATTTTTGTCTCAGGGCTACCTGATTAGTGGCTGGGATGCCCTTCTGCGCACGCTGTTGTTCTCCGGTGTATTTGCTGCCTTGGATGCCATTGTTAAGGTGTTTACCCTAGGCTGAGAGAAGTTTTTAATCACCTTACCTTCTATATTTGAATTTTGTGTTATTGGTTCCTACTTTGATAGCCACGCTGTTTATGTGCTCCTTACTTGAAATATTGAGTTGTTTAGCAAGTGAAATGTGATGATTTTCTGTGAAAATTTATCGAGCCAACTAGTACCAAAAGCAACAAAGGGTAAACGGGTTTTGCAAAGAACAATATCTTTCTGTAGAGTTTGTCGGTGGAGCTTGGAATTGTTGCAAACTTGACATGGAATTTCGCATTGAGATGGGTAAAACTCACTTCGATATTCTTTGGACTTGGTAGAATCTTCTTTTGTTCTTGTCAGGACGATATTAATTTCACTTGTCGCTTATCGTGTGGAACACAGGCAGTTTACATTTTTGGGCTGGGAATTCCCCTGCTTGTGAACGAAGACGATGGTGGAGATTGGCGGAAGTGGGGTTTCTGGCTTGTCCACACCCTTCTCTTTATTGGAGTCTATCTCCTAATCCTCATCCTGCCCTATACGAAATGGCGTGATCATTTACCTGGTGTGCACCCTTACCTATTGGTTTTTTACCCTCTCTTTTGGGGTAGTCCACATTCTGTTCATGCCGGTAGTTCTGGTGTCCAGAATAAGAATCTTTATAAATAGCTGAAAGTAGTCATTGTACTACACATGCAAAGTTTGAGCTTTCTCGTTACAATCTCGGCAAATCAAGACTTGTTTGGAATGATTGAGAGAAAAAACACTCGTTTTCACTTCCGTGAAGATATATGGTAAGCCATGCTAGAGTCGCAGCTTGTTTGCAGAATTCGTTGTGTCGGCATGAATGGTTCGAGACAGACTACTTATTAACTATAGAGATTCGTGTTTTTTTATTCTGACTAGAAGCACACGATTCCGTTTCATGGGTGAGGAGGTAATGAGGGTTGGAGCCCGAGATGCTTACTGGGACTGGTATCTAACTCTGTTTTCGTTTTACAGCCCGTCCATCATTTTACCGATACGTGTTCATACTATTTGTTCTCAATAGCATAACTGGTCTCGGAAGTTTCCTTCTGGGTCTCGGTGCCGACTTCGGACTTTGGTAAAATGACTTTCTCCTTGTCGTTACCAATATAACATCACTGGATTAGAGTTGTTTCTAATCTCACTGTGGAGCTTCTTGAAATGATAGTTCTTGGTCATGGAAAGTCAGCTCGCGTAAACAGAGCACTTATTTGTTGTGTAAGCTTTCTAACTTAGACACTAAATTTCATTACTTCTCTGGCGCTTACTGGTGGTGTTTGTGCAGTATATATGCCTTCACCAGCTTTGCGTATTACGCTTTCTACCCACCTTTGTTGTACATGACATTTCTTGCGGACTTCTTCAGGGTATGTGGTCCTCTTCTCGATGTGCTCTGAATATATGTGAAAGAAACTTTTACATTTCTTTATCATTCACCAACTTTCACGGTTCCTTGAATGAATTTGGATAAGTTGGTTCTGAAGAGTTTCAATGATTCATCTATATGCGCAGGAAGAAGACCTGCAGATGGAGGATGTTTATTATTCTGAGATGAAAGATGCTGGATATTTTGATGCTGATTGGGAGTAGGTGTTTGGTCCGAAACCTTCCAGCCAGCCTACAGATAGTAAACACTTTCATCAAGACTAAAGTTATCTCTAGTTACGCTGGAGCTTTGAGACTTGACCAAGCGTTATGAACGGATAGGATATATCAGCAGGTCACATTGGTCCCAGAACTACTCTATACACGGCTGACACCTCCAGACCAAAGGAAGGGTGAAAAGACTATTTTCAGTTCGAAATCACTCACACTTCGCCCATCGTATATATAGAAGCAAAATTGAGCAAGCGTTCTGTGGACATGTAGAAATAGCACCAACGTTGCGCTCTGGATTTAAGGGGTTCCCTGGAGCCGAAGCTGTTCAAAGTTTGGTATGGTCTCCTTAGTCGCCTTCAAGGCATCCCGGATTATTACCTGTCGGGATTTCACAGGAGTCCTGCTCTCGGTTGTCAACAGTAGAGAGGGAATGCAAAAACGACGAGTCATGTCCTGTGATGTGGAAAATGCATGACTCTCCTTGCGTAGGATGCATCCCACTCAGCCTGTGGGATAAAATTTTCATGCTTACATAATGTTCAGAAAATCAGTGCGGGTCAGAGGTTTTTCCTCTTGACCTTCCGCTTTACGGCTGCAAGCTCAACGGATCGTTCTCCGATTGTGGAATCAGGCAAGGGTTTTGTGAGTCTTATCTTCAAGGAACGTGTGCATTTTATTAAGATTGAGGGTCTTCATGTGATTATGAGTTATCTCATACCTCTTGCGATCGTCAACTCTATCATACCTCAAGATTTTCAACTCTTTCATTAGGTACCATTTGTTGAGATCCATGTATTCTACCTTACTCTACCTGGGTGATAAATATTCATCAGTTAAGTGGGAAAGTTTTAAATCTTACTCTTATGTCATTGAATTTGTAGCATTTGAGTACATCAGCGTTTGCCAGTAGTGACCGAGCAAGTGGACATGTTTGCCGGACTGTACAGTGACTTCTTTGTACAGGTCACTGATTGATTTATGGTATCGTAAATTCGGTACCTATACACGTGTATGATAATTGATCGTTACGTTTCCTGATATTCACGTTTATAAAGGTCCGCACCGAATCAAAACATTGCCTGGTTTGCTAAACTGGATATCACACTGGCTCTCCCACAGATCGCGGTCTGAACAGACCGAGACGATCCTGGACAAAGGCTAGAAACGATCACCATCAAAGACAGTACACTTTTGTGTTAACTTTGTACTGGAAGAGAACCCGCTGTCTTGATGTAGCAGTAGATTGACTCTGCACTCTGTATGTTGCGCGTATCTTCTGGACCAACACTCATGCACCGAGATCACAAACAATTTCGTCTACAGATTTTACCCAGAGGAACCGAAATCCATTCAGCAATGCTCTTCAAAGTTAATACACTATCCACAATACTGAAGTTAGACGGGCCTCTAACCCAAACAAAGTCAGAAGTCGGTATTAGTCATCACGCAAAAGCCTCGTTTGAGGCTTTCCACTAACTGAAAGTTTGGAGCCAAAGTGAACAGTACTGGCTTCGTAGGAGCTAAGAGCTTTGTATCTAGCTGTATGAGCTATAACACCACGATCTGGAATCTGTCGTGGACAAACAGCAAGACATGGGAGAAGAACTATCCAGACGCATGCAGTGGCTCTGAGCGGGATTGCCTTCCCGAGACATAACGGAGTCCATCTTTCTGGACCCTCGCGTCTCGTATAACTAGCTGTTTGTTGAAAATCTGGGCTACGTCTTCCACCTAAGGCTAGCTTGCACCACTTTGGGTTGAAGTTCAGTCCCCCGAGTGATCCAATCAAATCTGTAATCAACAATTTCTTCACTGGCTGACTATAAGGGCTAGGCCTGGCCTCTGGCATGGATGCTCCTCATTATACAAGGGCAGTTGATGTACCAAAATGGGGGACTCGTATTCAGGTAAAGATGAGTTGTGCACCGGTACTATGTACACCATCGGACTTAACAGATGCAGGCTCATCACGAGTTGCCCAATTACCCGAGCCTCCTCTTGGACTTGACAGATGCAAGCTCATCACAGATTGCCCAATTTCCCGAGCCTCCTCCCGGACTTTGCAGATGCAAGAGAAATCCGAGGTCTATACAGAATCGAATTGGTTCGTGTGAGTGTGTTCCGACAGCTGCAGGCCAGTAACTGGGCAGAACATTTTAGTGGTAAGTTGACGACGGTGCAAAAACCATTGCCTCCTTACGGAGCACTTTTATAAGAGATGCTAGCCGCACTTCCAGCAATCAGGATGGCCCCGAGAACATCCCAGAGGGTTGGTATCTCATGGAGAAACATAACCCCTAAGATGAATGTAAATAGTACCTGAGTCAGCCATGACACTGAATGAGCGAATCTCGAAAGGGGGAACTTTCTGCCAGCTGTGTCGTTATGACATTTTGCAGTTCATCAGATACTCGATATGGTAATTGAATGCAACACTCACCTCGGACTGCAGTGCCAGATATGGTGACCAGGAAAACGTACGAGCTTCAATGACAAAGATGTGGAAAAGGGAAATTTTCGACGACAAGATTTACCTTCAGATATTGTATAGGAGTGACACTAGAAGCTTTCTCAAGTTGCAAAGCCCTGGTTAGAAACACCTGCAAATCCAGCCATCAGGAGATACGCGATACACGTTCTTCAGAATGAGGTCTGTGTGCATTCCACTTCTTTCCGAGAAGTAGAATGGACGGGTATTGTAGAGAACCAGAAGCTTATTCAACTGGACCTTGTAGCTAACTCTCAATCTATTGAACCAAAACGGCTTGCACATCGGAAAAAGTACCTGGGCAAAGTACGCCATTACACCAACCAGCAACAGCAACGCAATCTCTGTAGAGTTCGGAACTTTATAGCCCTGTGAGAATTGCGAAAATTTTAGTGAGTGATCTTTAACACACGAATGAAGGGTTAAAGGTTTCGTTTAGTATAAAAGAACTTTAAACCTGGAGGGTAAGTCCCGGACTAAACCAACCCACCTGCATCATGGTTCCAAGAGCAGCCATTGGAGTAGAAAATGCAGCAAATGCAAATACGCAAACTCTGCAATGGCGAAATTCAGAAACATCAGCCGGTCTGTTCTACTGATTTCACACTTCCTTACTCTATGTCTTATCATCCTGCTTAGCTTGTCTTTTTGAAACTCAAAACAAGCTGCGAAAGAAGTTTTGGATAAATTTAGCCTCTAGGCATGTAAATAAACTCCGTACTATCTGCTGTGGAGGGTGCTGAGAGAAACTTTACAACGGAGGTTCATTTTGTTGGCCAATGATGCGAACTATGATATAAGAGAGAGCTCCAGTGGCAGCTGCTATCAAGGCGACGGCGACTCCCATATACATATCGCCAATGCTGTCTGTTATCGCATGCTTACCTGCATTACGAAGAAAACGCGAAAATGAGTGAAAATGCGCCAGATAGAGTGATATCACAAGCTGGAAATATTGCACAAACTTTTCATCAACGCATGACAGAAGGGCCACAGAATTCCAAAATCTGTCAAATGTTGAACAATTAACTCAAACAATAAACATGGAAGGTGTACCAACCTGAAAGAAACTGTGGTTGGGTAACCAGTAGGACACCCAAGAAACTACAAAACGTTCCTGCAGCCTCAGCTGCACCCCAATGCTCGTTCAGGTAAAGTGTTGCTAGAATAACAGTAAATACTGGGGTCGTGAAGTTGAGAACCGTAGCATCACGTAAAGGCAAGATCTGTATGCTGTGGCACTCCATCAGAGCACGTAAAATTAGCTCACTTGAAAAGACTGAGAGAGCAGAGCAGTGGGTGGAATATCGTTAAAATATTGAGGAACATAATGCTAAACTAGTCAACTTAATGCTAAACTTACAAGCCAGGTGCAGATGGAGTTCACTAACAGCCGAAAGGCACGTCTTCAGTGATTTCAGAGCTGATAACTCAGAAAGCTATTTATCTTACAAACGACACTTGTTTTATTTGAAACTTCGGTCGGCTCAGATCCAGATTTTGAACAGTGAGGAGTAATCTGGGCAGCTTTTAACAATTCAAATATGTGACACTGCACATCTGGTCATCGTGTATTTATGTGCCGGGCTTGCAATTTATGTTATCTCAAGGAATGAGCCGGACAGTCCGTCCCAAATACTCACTAATATGTCAAGCAGGGCTGAAACAGTTGTGAGAAAGAAACCCTTTACCCACATGAGGTACAGTCTGTGAATTACAAAGAGGTCTGTAGGTTGTTTGGGCACGTGCAGCACATACCATTGATGATCAGCCTTGCTTTAGTGTCAGCGGGACCGGCAATAGATGGCCATGACTGTTTGGTTTTGGCACGACTCACCTGTAAAAAAACGCAGAGAGGGAGAAAAAGCCGACAACCGCTCGAGCAATGACAAGTTTTCGGACTCTGGGAGTTCCCAAGAGGGGATGTCTCATTTGCCTCAAGCTTGCTCCGGCTATCAGTGAGATTAACCCACAACGAAACATCACGATCTGTGAAGAAGGAAGCGAGCGCACTGACAAACATATCACGAAATAGGGATCAGATTCGCCACTCCTCACAATCCTTCACTTTTCTTAACACCTCTGTCCTCCTCTTGGCTACAGTCGTGTAAGTAGTGCAAAGAGCAGCAGCATGGAGGGAGTTGACTGATCAAGTCATAACTAGTCTTACAATAGAGTCACTGCCTTACGACTATTTTGGTGAAGTACTACACTGGGCGGAATGCGGAAACGACGACGTGATTTGAAGGTCACACTGAAACAAGGATGGACTTAGAACATATTCAGTTGAATCTCACCCGATAGAATTTTAACAAAGAGTCCCATCAGAGCGTACGACAGAGATGAGATGGCCATGCAAGCAGCCCCGGAGTACTTCGACCCTCCCCAGACCCAGTTCCAGGCCTTCATGAATTTCATCGAGCTCGCATACACATCTCTGCGGTCCAGCGATTCGAACTCTTTCGTCGATGGTGTCTCCACCTTCAGAAACGGTAACACAGGACCAGTCTCCTTCAATACCATCTTCTCGAGAACCTCCGCTTGAACTCTCCTGTCTCTGTCCCTATGGCCCCTCTTGGGAGGCAGCTCCTGGTGCTCGTCGTAGTCTGTGGAACTTGAGCTCGAACTCCTCTTCGGCTTCGATGCTTTGGGCCTCGGATCTTCCACACCACTTTCCAGATCCTGCTGCTGCTTCACTTCGCGCTTCCCCGTGCCTGCCAGCAAGAACCTCTCCAAGTCTCTGTCTCTGTAGTCCACAGTCTCAGTTCTCTTCTCATCTCCTTTTCTCTCCTTCCTGGCCATCTGATGATGGTCGATCTCTGATGATGTCGTCTCTCAACGTCAAATCCGATTCCACTCTCACAGATCAAATTCTCCTTCTGCCTCCACCCGATTCCCTCGACTGGTCCATTTGGATCTTGATGCAATCACGCAAACATTCGCGTGTCAGTCCTTCAAGCTCGCTCTCCTTCAAGACTCGATCAATTCGATTCAATTTCTCAATTCAGAATTAACACCTTCGCCAACCCTCAATTTCTCAACCTCGGCCTGCTTGCCTGCCTGCCTGCCACCGCCGCGGCACAATTCATCTCCCACATAAACTCCAGAACAACAAACTCACTCGATCTCACTTCTCCAACACTTCCTACTCCCTAGCCTTTCCGTTCCGCTCCCAGAAACCTCCTTCGCAGATACGATCGACGAATAATTAGCTCCTCTCCTCTCCTCTCCTCTCTACTCTTCTCAATCTGAGCCTGTGCCGAATCCAGGCTGAGAGACCGGCGGGAACACAGACGATCTTGACTTCCCGAGTCTCTGTCTGAACTGATGTCACGTCAGTCGGTCTGATTTAATTTCCGAATCCTCGTGGAGGTGATGTGATGTGATCTGATCCGATATTCGCTTCCTGTTCCCAGCGGGCCAGGCCAGGCCTCGATCGGTCAATCGATCGATCGCTGGCAAGCTTGCTTCGAGGAGAGAGTGGGCAGAAGAACAAATCGAGGATTCTAATCTGGATTACAAACACGGAAGCGAAGAGCGCAGCGCAGACCGTTGAGCGTCAAAACCGGATGAGGAGGGCTGGGCCGACGACTGCGAAGGATGGATGATGATGGCGCGGAGCCATGCATGATCCATCGTGCGATCATGCGACGAGGGCAGCGAAATGCCAGAAACGCCAGACGCAAGAAAGCCCCGCGTCCGCCCGCGGCCATACATACATCATACACCATCATGCTCTCTCTCTCTCTCGACTCGAGAGAGAGAGAGAGCTTCGACCCGAAGGAAGAGAAAAGGTTCCGCCAACGGTGCCTGGCTCCCGTGGAAAACCAAACGAGGGCAAGAAAGTCAGACCCCCGTCCTTCCTCCCCGTCCAACAGCATCCCCGCAACAGCAAAACAGCTATCCGCACCCCCGCGCCCCCGCTCCCTCCCTCGCTGCGCTGCTGCTCTCGATTTCCGGGCACGAGGTGCCCTGCCCTGCCCTCCTTCGTGCCAACTCATCCTCGACCTCCACGTCACACAAGGAACGCACGGATGCAGAAACCTTGGGGGGCTTTTCTTCGTCTCATCTCACGGTTGCGGTTCAAGGCCCTGAGGCTAGAGTTGGAGGCACAACGTCAAAGGGCATGCCCCGGGGCGAGGGCACGGGAGCATGCCCATGGGCATGCCTAATTCGCATTTTCCATAAGAGGCATGCCTATATGTATAAATAAATATATATGTATATTCTAGAGTTATAGACGTATATTTTAGAGTTATAGACTGTGGGATAGGTGAGGAAATAAAACTGTTTTCACTTGGAGATTCTGCTGTAATCTGTTCTGGGTTTTGAGTTTTCACTTTTGTGTTGATTGATCTACTTAGTGTTTTATTTCCATAGATATATATTTTTTGGATACGTTCAAATGTACGTATTTTAATACGGGCATGCCTGGGGACATGGGGCATGCCTTTTGATCTCGAAACTGGGCATGCTCCGAAAAATTTTGTTGTGCCTCCAATCCTACCTGAGGCCCAAGAGGGAGGAATGCCAACTCATCCTCGGCTCCAGCTCTCGACCTCCAGCTCATCCTCGACCTCCACGTCACACCAGGAATGCACGGATGCAGAAACCTTGGGGGGGCTTTTCTTCGTCTCATCTCACGGTTGCGGTTGAAGGCCCTGAGGCCCAACAGAGAGGGAGGGAGGGAGGAATGACGCAATCAATGATCATCTTCGAACCAACGTGCTTTTGTGTCTCTTCTATGATCTTCTTATCCAAATAGAGAATACTTTTTCGTTCAGGCCGGTTGCTTTACCAGGCTAACAAACAAACCTCGTCGTGAGTGATTGCGACTGGGGAGAGCTCTGACCTCAGCTCCGTGCACTGATCTTTCCAGCAGAAGTTGTAACCCGGATCGCTAGACAGCAGAGTGGTTGTTCATGTTCTAAGTCCGCAGGGAGGAAGTCGGTGCTTCGTGGGACCGTGAGAAGCAGGACAGGGACAGGGCTAGGCAGGAGGCATTCTCACGAATCTTGTATCTGCTGCTTGATATTCTGACATAACCTTAGATTTCAGCTTACAGTCCAATTCGTTCGTTGTGCATGAACTGATGACGCTCTGTAATCCGGACTGCCCTTGTGGAGATTGTCTGTGTGTGTATGTGTGTGTGATTGTGTTTCTCTCAATATGTTGCTCTCATATTCTGGTCTCTTGCTGCTGTTGCGTCGACCTTCGACTTGGCTACTTCCTGGAGTGCATCATATGGCAAGGTCTTCTGAGCTGTGGACCGCGACTGTCAAAACTCAGCACAGCGAGAGAGGTATTCAGATGAACCGAAGGCTCACCGACCCCCACCCTCCTGCACTTGGAAGACATGGACCGCTAGACAGATCATTAGAGAAAGTGCAGTGCAGCTGGACTCGAGAATGAGGAGTGCGGCAGGCTGGTTGTGGAATCAAATGGACGGACTTCGCCTCACATCGACACCAAAATCGTGTAGACGAATACACGAGATCGACGACTCGGAGTTCGTTGTCCTCACGTGCAGTGACCATGAAAGCTTGAAGATGTCAATCCACCTGTTGATTGGTGTTGTTTCTGACACCAGTGGGGTGGAGGTTTACAGAGGAACGATAGGCAGATAGAAATGGACTCCAGAGGCATAAGAGAAAGACAGGAATGCAGCAGTAGGAGGGCATCGGATTTGTGCTCTTCGTGTATCTATCTTCTACAACATCTACTCGGGTTTCTCGATCATCATATCATATCATCACGACACTCGATGCTTACGTGAACTTCTACTTCTAGAGTACATGGCATGCATCCTCTCATGCTCTCAGGTGAGTAGGTGGCGATAATAGAAGAAGAAGAAGAAGAAGCGCAGGTTCAAGCAATGAAGCAGCACAACATATTTCCCGGGAAAGTGACTAGTGCACGCCAGTGCATATTATTCTTCGCCGAGTCGGGAGGGGGTCGTGGGTCAGGGGTCAGTCCGTGGAGATAGCTCCTCGAGACGTCGGTTTCCCCCCCCTGCCTATTGTTTCTCATGATGAAAAAGGAAAGCACCAGATGGCCGATGATTGATGCATGGGAGAACATGTGTCAGGACGAGGCCCAAGGAATACATACAGGATCTAGCTTAATGGTGGTCGAGTAACGACGGTGGCGTACTTCAGACCCAAGATTCAAGTGCGAATCTCCTCTGTATCAGATCCACCCACCGTCCGTTCATGCCTGAAATTCTTACTACTCTGCATCATTCATGCGTGCTCTCTCTCTCTCGTTCGAGGCAACACGACAGCATTTGGACGATCTCTGGGAGTTTTGTCACAAAGTCTCAAATTCGTCAATGATGACACGAATAACACATTGTGCAACAGCTCGGGTCCAAAACGAACTCGAGGTTGCTTGCGCTAGACCCGTACCGAAGACTACGTGCGCGTGAATCAGTGAAGTGAGTCCGAGCTTTTAGACAAAGAAGGAGCTTTCCTCTTTGTCGTTGCGCCATCTGCTCTCTCTAGCTCCTCCCTCCCAGATTTGCTGTAATTATCAGGACCTCGTGTCCTTCATTTGCCATTGAGTGTCGAGCTCTACAGGATTCATGACTGGCTGCTGGACTGGTCGACGATCATTTTTCATTCAACACTCGTACATCTGACGCTGACTGATTCAGTGGTTTTAATCCCCCCAATTTATGGGCTCAGAAACCTATGATGAAAATGTCTGCTTTGAAAGACGCGTGAGCCCGCGATGATATACACCTGATAACAGGTAAACGACGATGAGTGCCTCGGCTATGAATTTCCCTGTCCTCCCTCCCTCCCTCCCTCCCACATCCACCGACTCGAGTCAAACCATTGTTTGGTGTTCCTTGCCTGTCAGTATGCGGGTTTCATCCAGAAGCATTAGGATCCTCGCAATAGCCTACGCGCTGTTCCTTCTTTTGCTCCCGATAGAATGTTTTCTACCCTGGGAAAGAATTACAGCTCTGAAGAGTGAATGATAACCTCTGTGCCGGACATCAGAATCATGAGCGAGTTCTTCCCGAGCCAGTTTCTTGCTACAGACAAAGAAACAGAAACAGAAGTTTAGAAGGTACACGAAAGTTCAATCAATCATTAATTCTTGAGCTTGCGTGTGGGCAGAGAGGGAGGGGGCTGTCCGCTGCATTGCATTCTTCTCTGCTGATCTGGTCTGCAATGAGTGCTCAATCAGTGTACCAGCCTCTTCAGGTCTAGGTCTCATGTCTCGTCCAAATACAGCGTAGGCAAGGCCTGCGTGACAGTGGCAAACTTCAGCTCAGGATCTCTAAACCCCTCAGGACCTATGTACTGAATCAACGATCGAACGAATGATACCTCTCGGATGCCGATGACATCGAGTGCTCCTCACTCAAGCATCCTACAGGACATGAATGCGATCCAATCATTCCACTCGCATCGACTTCTTCTTCCGCTTCTAGATTCCTCCCGCCCTCAGCTAATTATCCAGAAATTTTCGACACCAGGTCCCAGAAGAATATGCATCTCGCGAGGACTTTCTCTGACGCAGCCATAGCCAGCAGCAGATCTGTCTTCTGCTTACGATGTGTACTGACTGCGCTGTACAGTACAGTGCTCTTGCCTGTTCAGAGAGCCCGACCACCGCGGTGCCATACGCAGTACACTGATAGCGACGATCCATATCATTGGACCGACACAAAGGGCCAAATTCAACGCAATTGAGTCATCCCCGTACCCGTCTCTCTGTCTCTGTCTCTCTCTCTCAACCACAAAACTCATAAAGCTTTGCAGCAATTTTTGCTGATCCTCTAGCTCGCCAGCTAGTCTTGCTCCTTTACACTAGAGCACAGTTCAGAATAGAGCCCAAAGATTAGCAATATCATAGAAGACACCATCGGTGAAGTATTGTATGCGCACGTGTCTGAAACTCGTTCACCGGCTCCGGAGCGAGGGGCGGGCGGGCGGGGGGGGAAAATACTTCACATGTTATGGCGTTGAGTATGTTCTGCTGTGTCTCGCTGCACTTGCACAACAAGTCGTACATTTGGGAGTTTTCGGGTGAGTGAGAGTCATGCAGAGAGACAGGGTCTGCAATTGAACAGGAGGAGTCCTCATCTAGGCACAGTAGATTTTCCAGGAAACAGCCGACGAGCCATGAATGCATGCAATGTGCTGTACAATGTCCGAGAAGTGTATGAGCTTACTGATATACGGAGAGACTAAGGTCTTCGTTTGACGTGGTTTCTGTTAGTCGACTGCGGTGCATTAGAGTGCAGGAATGTGGTAGCATCTGCAGGACTGGAGAGCTACGACTCTGAGAGTAGTAGGGTCACTCTGTGCTTTCGTAGAGACCGATGATGATGAGATGAGATGAGATGACCCAGGTGTCCAGCCAGTCCTGTGTCTCCTGTGAGTGCTGCTGCTGCTTCTGCTTTTGTTGCAGAGTATCTTTTGCAGTTAGCTAACAGATTGAACATTCCCCTGTGGATCTGTTCATGTTCATGAGCATGTCCTGAAGATTGGAGGAAGTTATGGTATCTGTGTGGGATGGGATGGAGGGGGATGGGAATTCGAGTACAGTACAGTACAGTTGTGCCATGCCATGCGATGAGATGCGATGCGCTGCTGCTGCTGCTGCACTGTGACAGCCTTGACCGCGTAAACAGAAGATACTAGAGATCCTCTCGCAGACACGCACTCTCGTGCTCATGTACTGCCCCAGACATGTTTTGGCAGAGGCCGAGAGGGTCGTCCTTCGAACTCCAGCTCGGACGCTTCCGTCCATC